AGACGACGCCGTTGTAGAGATCGGAGCTACGATTTGCACACCGTTTTCGCTGGAAAGCATCTATCGTCGTCTTCGTCCCTTCGCTTCTCTAGTAGCGTCACTGTAATGCCATAAGGGTTTTGTAGCACCATCTGATAAGAAGGGTGGTACCAGTAGGGAAGTTTTATCAGTAATAGGAAGGAAATGTGGGGGTGAGTGCGGTATTGAATGTTTGTGGTGGACGGTGGTAGCAGTCAGTGGTGATGGTAGCAGCCATTAGGGATGATATTTTTCTTGAGTGCGTGTGTGTTTTGTTGAGAGAGAGAGAGAGAGAGAGAGAGAGCGAGAGAGAGAGAGAGAGAGGGTGGGCGCTTTTTTTGTTTTAAGTTAAAAAATATAAATTAAATTGATTTATGTATTAGCAGTTAAAGAAAATGAAAAAAACAAATGATAAGGGCATAATCGTCTTTTTAAGTGCACGATGACAAAAACCAATAAAAAGATTCAATTTTGAACCATTGGTGCACCTCCAAAAATTTTTGGACCAAAACCACAAAATTTTGCCAACCACAATAATGATGGAGAACACGGTAAAATACAATTGTGAATTTTGTGGCTTTCAGTAGGCTAAAATACAATAATGATGGAGAACACGGTAATTTTGTATGGTTATAACTTTCATGATTTTGACAAAGGTATGTGGACTGTGAAACCTCTATTTTTTTAATCATTTCATGTTCTTGTAGAATTGTAGAGACCTCATTGTTAAAAATGATGAGTTTTTCGGTTTATAGATTTTCCAAAAATAAAAAGGGAAAATACAAAGAAACGATGCACTTCACCATTTTAGCAAGCAAATGAGTTTATTTCATCTCAAGTTTGGATTTTGGATATATGGTTCTTTTGATATTTTAATCTTTTGCTTCGTATTTATATCTTTCAAAGAATATTTCTGTCAACTACTATTAAATTCAGGTTGATTAAAAACAAGTTACACATAAACCCACCAATTTGAAATTGTGACCAAGCTATTGCAATAAATCCAAAATGCTCACCTCATATAGATTCAATACATGAAATCAGCACAGGCAATGGAATTGGACCAAACAATAGTCCATTTGCTTTCAAATCAAAACTAATAATAATGGCTCCCTACCTCCTGCAACGTACTGCAAAGTACTGTAAGAAGGATAGGACCATATCCATAATTTATTCATTTTTGTAGTAAAATCCAGGACAAAGATCATTTATGTAATCTAATCCATATCCTATATATATATATATATATATATATATATATATATATATATATATATATATAGGATCAAATGAGAACACCTAAAAGGTTGAGAACGCGAGAACAGATCTAGGCATCTAAATATTCAAATCTAAGGTTATTATTAGACGGACCATTTATGTAAATTATGAAATTTATTGGTATTAAAGTGTAAGTTTGAAATAGTGAAAAGGGTATAATAGTAATTGATGGTTTATTTAATTGCTATAATTTCTCCTTATTTTCTTTAAATTTCGTCTCTCTCTCTCTCTCTCTCTCTCTCTCTCTCTCTCTCTCTCTCTCTCTCTCTCTCTCTCTCTCTCTCTCTCTCTCTCTCTCTCCTAGGGCACGACTCCTTTCAATATCATCGGTGTTATTATCTCCATAGAAATCAGAAGCTTATGCCGTCATCAGCCACACTGATGGCATCGTTTTAGGTAAGATTTAATTCGCAGTTAGATCGTGAAGGGAGATGTTGAAGTCTGAACTCGAAGTCAGCGATATTGGAAAGGTCCAGATCTGGTTCCTTCAGCAAATCTGAGAGCTTCTCCGCAGACGGAATCATGTTGTTGTTGGAAGCATCATCAGACATTTCGTGGGCAAGCAATGGTCGAGGAGTGAGCCAGGAGTATGAGGAATACGTCGGGGACTCCATCAACTGCATCGTCCATGGCTATTGCTGATACGGGTGGTTCTTCTCAATCACTTCTTAAGTAGGTTCGTCTTGTTCTTCTGAATTTGGATTTAGCAGTTGTAGATGATGATGATGATGCTATTGACTCGTTTGTTTGGGTCTTTTGGATATGTGCTCAATTGATTGGAATTGCTCACATCGCAGATAATGAGCCACGAGGTTTCAATAGCGGAGCTCTCTGTACTCTCTTCCTCTTGTGTACGCATTCCACATTTTCAATTTTCCCTAATCTCACGTCTATCTTAGATACTCGTTAATTATCTGATTTGAATTGATTGTTACAAGCTTCTGAATCTCAGATCGCAGATAAGGAGCCACGAGATTTGATTGTTAACGAGCCACGAGATTTGATTATGAATATGTTAAAATTCGTTAATGATTATAAATTGGAGATAAAAACTAGTAGACTTTATTTCATTGTTAATCATTTATGATTTTCAGCTCTATTCAAGTTTGGAGCTGTGTAAAGGGGTGAGTATTGATTCCAAGTCAACTCCATGCTCTTGAATTTCTTTTATTTATTTTTGTTAAATTAAAATCTTCATTCTTTTTTTATTATTGTATTTTACAAGTGACCCATTTATATATATAAAAAAAATCTTTTAACTCTAATTTTCTTTAAGAAAGATTTTAATCATACTTGAATATAATTATAAACCATATATGTTTATAGTTATCATCATACATGATTTTAGTTATCATCATACATGAATAACACTTTATTCATTATAAGGTTCACTATGATTGCAACAAAAACAAAAGATATACGACTTACGTTTTCCTTTCTCTGCCATCAAAAGAGAAACATGTATTCATTTGTGAATTAGTGAAGATGTATGCACAACGTTATTATCTGATTTTTTTATATCCTTGAACTTGATTTTGCAGGTGTGAACCCGAGAATAACAATGATCACATGTGCCCTTTTTTATCTTCTTTGGTCATTTGTGATTACAATCAAACTAGATTTTTTTTATCTTCATATTTTCTTTTATTCATTAATGATTACAAATGTATTGGTTTACTATATTGGTAAATATACTTTAACATTTATGATTATGACTAGATTAAGGTGTTTTATTTATTAATTTATTTATTTTTATTTTTTTGGGATGGTGGTTAACTCATTCCAACTTTTATTATTACATATAATCATTCACAATCAACATAATCAAATCAAATAAAATCCTTAAAAAGGTTTAATTTAATATATGCTTTCGTTCATTTATGAATATACCATAAATTTATTTTTTTCAATCTTTATAAAAATAATAAAATATAGTTAAAAATCAAAATCTATGAAATTTGAACTAAAAATCTTTCATTAAGTATAAATTAAAAAAAATTAATGAATTGGTTTATTTAGGAAACAGTCAAATAGAATCCGTAAATTTTTGCCAACTCATATTTACAATTAGTAATATGCCCTTATATATTGATTGGTATAGAATTGTTCTCGCGTTCTCAACCTTTTAGGTGTTCTCATTTGATCATTTCCATATATATATATATATATATATATATATATATATATATATATATATATATATATATATATATATATATATATATATATCACAAATTGAAATCATCTTTTACATCATGTTTTAATCTTTGGGTTGTATAAATCTTACAAAGAGTTTATCTGTTCCATTGAGGATGTTGAAAGTTGAAACCTCCCGATGTAAAACTAACTCCGGTAACCGTACCAGAACTGGTCAATTTTTTTTTTTTGTTTTTTATTATTTTTTTTTTTATTTCTACACAGATGACAAATACGATGGTGCCAAAGACAGTCAGACCTTTTCAACTGCAAAAACCAAATCAAAGACAACATTTTAAAATTCATATGTTCACTATCTTTTGTTATTTCTAGAAGATTAAACTTTGTAACTGATTTTGATGGAAGTTATTTATTTAATTCAAATTTATTAATCTCTAGAAGGTTGAATTTATTTCTCAAAGTGGATGATTTGCAGAATAATTCTTAAGGTTGTTTGCTATTGCAAAGCCACCCATTTTGTTAAAGTGGAATATTGTGGTTATCACAGTGACCTGAGCTCAACCCATATTTGCCACCCTTTACGGTTTGTGTGTTTCCTGTAATAATCAGAAAAAAAAATGGCAGCTGGTTAAATAGTTAATACTTAAATGTTTAACTTTACTTATGAAATGCTATTGATTAACTATATATATTTCATAGAAAATAATAAAACAATGAAATATTATGATTATACAAATATTTGAGTGATTAAAATATATTGTTCACGAATATACTTTTAATCGGAACCTATTTTTATTTCAGGTTTTAATTGCTTATTTTTTCAAAAATCTAGGGTGTTTGGTTGTAAAAAAATTTCTAGTTTTCCATGCTTTTTTTTAAACAAGTTTGATTTATTTTGTTTCAAAGATTTTCCAAAAAAAAAAAATGAAAATTTTCTATTTGTCCAAATTGTATTTACAGTTTTCCAAAGTTTTCTAATTTTCTAAGATGAAAAATGAAACTCCTCAGGTCTCAACCAACCAAATGTGTTTTCTAAATTTTTTATTGAAAACCTAAAATGAAAATTCAACATTTTCTAAAAACGTTGAAATAGTTTCCAAAACCAAACACACTCTTAATTACTTATAGAAGATTAGGTTGCGTTTAGTTACGAATAAACAGTTTTCATTTTCTGTTTTTCGTTTTTCCTTTTCAGTTTTCGTTTTCCATTTTCAGTTTTCATCGGAAAATTTAGAAAACACATATAGTTAAAACTTATTCATTTTTTATTTTCAGTTTTAGAAAATTAAAAAACGTGTTTATTTTTCTATCGGTTTTCATTTTTAGAAAACGGTAGTGGAGGTAGGGTGGGCGTGGGTGCCATGGCGGTGGTAGGGACATCGGCGGTCAAGCAAACATCTCAGTACAAAATCAAATTCATCCCACTAGTGGGTCATTCACATTAACATGTTAAAAGAACTCAAGAGAAATCAAATCAGGGTGGAGATTCACGTGTCAAGATAGAAATCGAGAGCCTGAAAGTTGATAAGTGAGAAGTGAAAAGGTACTTACCACTTATGCGTTCGTGAGAAACGAGAAATCAAACAAAAGTCAAAATCAAGGGAGTCGTGTTCTTTGCGTCGAGGACTTAGGATTCCTGCCTCCTCTTCCTCGTCGTGACCGACACCTGCAAAGAGAAGCAAGGATCGATGGGGGATAGTTGCGTATGGCGGGCTGGTTGTTAACGGTTTATTTGCGAATAGGGCCCATAATTTTATTGTGAATAGTGGTCCATTACGACCACTAACCTGCTTGCTTCTCTTATAAACCCTGAAGTCCAAAGTCGATTCCTGAAGTCCAAAATTGATTACAAGAATGGATCTGTGAAGATGAATAGATGGGGGTGACTATTTTTACTGAACTTATTTATTGCAGATCTGCTTTTACTTAAGCCCTAAACCTAATTTATAGAATCGATAGAATACCATGGAAACTTTAGCCCTAATTTATGCCCATGGTTTTTTATACCATACCAACATAGAATTCTGAGATGGGAGCTAGAAGGAAACACAAATGACCTAAAAAAATCTTTGAAGATGCTGGAAACGATGCCAAAGAAGAAAATACCTTCTGATGGGTGAGGTGTGCCCGACGGCTATGAGGTCGTAGAAATTGAGAGAAGCGATCGAGCACGTAGAAATTGAGACAAGATATCGAGCGATCCATGAGCAACCTTTTAGCCAAATAAGGATACCAAGCAACTCGAAGCCTAGAACCTTATAACTAGGTGAAATAAAGTTTAAAAAATAGTCCATATATGTGTAGGAAAACTCAACCTTAGGATAGGGAAACTCCATACGGGGATCTCTCATATTGAGTACAATCCACCAGCAACACAATTTTATTTCGGAAAGTGGCGAAGCCTCACGCCTGCAACACAAATGATTCATAGGTTTTTTCGGGAATTTCAATTATATTGTACACGTAGGGGTTTTGCCACTGAATTCAGAGAGAGAGATAGAGAGGGAGAGAGAGATGGTGGAAAACAGGGAAGGAAGGAACACTGAGGAGAAGAAATAAAAGCAAATATTGCACGTCCGTATGACTGTAGAATAGAAAACACTGGAGCTTGATGTGCTCTTATCTACGGTATAATAACATTTGTCAAAGTGTTAGGTTTTACAATAGGATTTGCAAAAAATTGAAATCGTACAAAAAAAAATTACAAGGGAAAAAGGTGTCATAACAAAAACAAAAAATCAAACCGTTTTAGAAAACCAACACTTTCATTTTTGTTTTTTCAAAAAACAAAAATTTTTCGGGTTAATGTGGTTTCTTATATAAAAAGAACGGGAAAAAACGAAATACCAAAATTTATGTTGTATTCTAAAACCGAAAATTTTAAAGTAAAAAAAAACAAAAACTAAAAGTCAAAAACTAATATTTTTTAGCTTGGCTTTGGTTTTAGTAATCAATTCATTCTCACATCTAGTGGTTAACAAACTTTCGTCCATCAAACAAAATAATTATTAAAAGGTAAAAATTGGAATTTTTTTCAAGATAATAATTTGGTTTTAGTAATTGATCCATACCTTATCCACTTGAGCACGATAACTTTCGTGGGAATCGACTTCTAGCATTTTAATCTATCAAATATCAATCAAACAAAATTGATATTAGAAGATTATAATTGGTGAGCATAAAACAATTCAGAATATGCATACCGTTTTTTCAATATCCATCCACTTTTCTACATATCTGTAGGTGCCCAACGATGAGAAGTTATACTCCCTAGTTAAGTGAGATCCAAAACGACAAATGTCTTTTGAAAAATTTGTCAAGGCCTGATCTAGGTCCTTTGGTCTATCTAGGTTCATTGGCCTGAGAAAACAATCAATAGAACTTTATTATACATAAGATTCCTTACATATCAGTACAAAATCGGATTAAGCAAGCATCTCAGTACAAAATCAAATTCATCCCACTAGTGCGTTATTCACATTGTCAGGTTAAAAGAACTCAAGAGAAATCAAATCACGGTGGAGATTCACGTGTCAAGAAAGAAATCGAGAGCCTAAAAGTTGTTAAGTGAGAAGTGAAAAGGTACTTACCACTGGTGCGTTCGTGAGAAACGAGAAATCAAACAAAAGTCAAAATCAAGGGTGTTGTGTTCTTTGCGTCGAGGGCTTAGGGTTCATGCCTCCTCTTCCTCGTCGTGACCGACACCTGCGAAGTGAAGTGAGGATCGATGGGGGATAGTTGCGTACATCGAGCTGGTCATTAACTGTTTATTTGCGAACAAGGCCTATAATTTTATACTAAGTTACGTATGTGGCCCAAGACAAAATAGATTAAATCAATTGGGAAATTGTCATTTCCCACACCTACAGAACACGCTTGAACGGAAAAAAAAGAGGTAACTGATCATTTCATCTTTCCTTCATTCTCTCGATAATCACAAAAATCAAGGTAGACAGGAAGTGTTTTGTATCCTGCAACAGTCTTAAAATTCCGACCATAAAGAGTTTGATAATTACCTTCAAAATCAGAATCGGTTTATAGAATATGCACTAGGTCGCGTCAAATCAAGGCTCAGCTATTCAAGAATCAAAATAAAAAAAAAGGTACTTTAAAAATTATAATAGTTTTTGATTAAAGAAAAGGTACTTTAAAAATTAGAATATGCACTTGAATCACTCTCTTAAACTTGACAATTGACAAATCTAGTTATGATTGTATTAACAGGGTCTCGATAACTCTTTTGGTTTTTCAAAAATCCACAAACCACAAATCATTGGTTTTTCACATATCCAGAAATCAGTCAAGGTTTACTACTTTACCCTCTTTCTCTATGTTATATTGATACTCGTTTTTACCTCTTTGGTTTATTGTAATTTGGTTTTATAACAGATTCAGTGTAGATTCATATTTGATTTGTTGTAACCAAAAACTACGATGTGAGAAGGAATTTACAAATCTATCAAATCACAGAGGAAGAAGACATTTAATGGACTGGCTTTGAAAACAATCGAGAGAATTCTTTTGGATAAAATTATTTATATAGAAGTAACTGAAAATCTTCTTTCAGCGAATACTAGAAGGATGACACTTTTTAAGTAGAAGCAAATTTTTTATGTATTCTTTTGAAAGAACTATTAACTTACGTCACAATAGAAAATAAAAAATAAAAATTGTTTGTCTCAACTTTTAAAAAATTTCAAGTTTTGGGGTCTAATTTTACTAATCAGCACAGAGCCTCCAAAATCTAGTGGTCGGCCTGTGTACTGCGTTCTTAGCTTCTAATTCAGGAAAGATATGAGGCGTAAGATTCAATAAGGACTCGTATCAGAACACGAGTGTCATGAATGATTGTTGAACTATTTAGAAAATTGGTTTGAGTAGTTGTATAAAGATGGTTTAATCTATTTATCAACCATTTATTTAATATAACTAATAATGTATATCAGTAGCCTTTTGTTTTCTAAAAGAATTGCAATTGTAACAACCACTTTTTAGGTATAAACTGTTTATCCAGCTAACGGGTGAAGAGCGGTTTTTGGGCATTTTGCGACACGACACTTTTCCGGAAAACGGCCCATTTCTCCGCAACTAAACGCACCCTTAACTTCCCTATAATTTATTGGAGTCATCATATTACCTCGAAACTTGACAGAATCTACTTTATCAGAAGGCATTCCAAGGGCATTATATCTCCATTCTAGTTCCACCATTCTTCTTGCTTATATCACAAAACTCTTCCCTTGCTTTCTCATGATTCATCTCACAAAAGTTCACCATCATCATTTAAATAAGCATACAACAATCAAAGTGATTAGAGAAAGAAGAAACATGAAATCAAATTATTTCCTTTATTGCTCCTGCTGCACATAGGATGAAAAAATCACATTATACATAACGCGACTTAGAGGGTACCATTTTGAAATCCAAAGGTACAGAAAAGAACTAAAGCCACATACAAGAATATAAGGAACCTGAAACAAACATTTAATGGCTAAGAATGCATTAAATCATTTGTATGTAACATAATAAAAAACAAATTTAACGATTGTTTCAAACATTGAGGCTAATAATTTTTTGTTTACTAAAGGAAAAATGCATTATGGCGGTAAGCTAAGAAACTAAACTGGTATTTTTGTTAACTAAAAGAAAAATGTATTATATAACTACATTCAATCTGTTCTTTAAGGAGAAAGAGAAATTAAGGCATTTACTAATCTGGAACTGAGATTAATAAGATTAATGAATCTGTGAAGAAGAAACTAAAATGAGGAAATTTTGCCTTTGTTCTGCTCTTTTGGGAGCTCCATTACGACCACTATCCTGCTTTCTTCTCTTATGACCCCTGAAGTCCAAAGTCGATTCCTAAAGTCCAAAATTGATCGCAAGAATGGAACTGTGAAGATGAATAGATGGGGATGACTAAAGGCCACGATATTTTTTATACCAAACTTATTTATTGCGGATCGGCTTTTACTTAAGCCCTAAATCCTAATTTATAGAATCGATAGAATAACATGGAAACTTTAGCCCTAATTTATGCCCATGGTTATTTATACCATACCAACACAGAATTCTGAGATAGGAACATAGAATGAAACACAAATGACCCAAAAAAATCTTTGAAGATGCTGAAAACGATGCCAAAGAAGAAAATACCTTCTGATGGGTGAGGTGTTCCCGACGGCTATGAGGTCGTAGAAATTGAGAGAAGAGATCGAGCACGTAAAAATTGAGAGAAGATATCGAGCGATCCATGAGCAACCTTTTAGCCAAATAAGGATACCAAGCAGCTCGAAGCCTAGAACCTTAGAATTAGGTGAAATAAAGTTTAAAAAATTGTACATATATGTGTAGGAAAACTCAACCTTAGGATAGGGAAACTCCATACGGGGATCTTTCATATTAAGTACAATCCACCTACAACACAAATGCTTCATAGGGTTTCGGGAATTTTAATTATATTGTACACATAGGGGTTTTGCCACTGAATTGAGAGAGAGAGAGAGAGAGAGAGAGAGAGATGGTGGAAAACAGGGAAGGAAGGAACAAGGAGGAGAAGAAGTAAAAGCAAATATTACATGTCTGCATCACTGTAGAATAGAAAACACTGGAGCTTGATGTGCTCTTGTCTGTAGAATAGAAAACACTGGAGCTTGATGTGCTTACAGTATAATAACATTTGTCAAGTGTTAGATTTTACAATAGGATTTGCAAAAAAAATTGAAATCGTACATGAAACGCTCTAAAATTTTCAATCAAATTTTTCATTTTTAATTCTCAAATTTTTACTCATAAATCCACATCATCACATAAATTGTAATTTATTTTCATGACAACATTAGAGTATCCCAAAATCCTCAAATCTCTATAAGCCGACAGATGTGTACAATCGAGCATTCGCCTTCCCGAAATCTATAGGAGTACTTGAAACACATATCACATACATAAAAATAATTAGCCTCTCATGGCTATATCTCGATAAGGACCCTACGGTCATGTGTCTCAGTGAAGACCCTCCGGTCCCACGGTTCGGGTTGGACCCTCTGGTCCTATCTCAACAATGCGCAGGATAATATACAGCATCAATCACAGGACAGAATGCATGATATCACATATCTCAGTATATGTACATAAGATCAACATATACGAAGAGTACTATAACAACATAAGTCACAAAAACAGTACGCACGATAACACATATCACATTATAAACAAATAAGACCCTCCGGTCAATAATGTACTAAGACCCTCCGGTCAATAATGTACTAAGACCCTCCGGTCAATAATGTAAATAAGATCCTCCAGTCAATAACATGAATAAGACCCTCCGGTCACGCATAAATTACCACTCAGGTAAGTATAGTGAGAAGACTCACCTCGCGGAGTAAAGCAATATATTCCACACTCGAGCTGTTGGTCTAATCTCCGCCCCTCCATGGCCTCTAAAATCCACAAGTTGACCAAAACCCTAAAATCAACGGAAGTCAACACTCAAGACTGACCCAACTCTAAAAGTCAACGGAACTCAACACTCAAGTCAACAGTCCATGTTGACTAAACTTGCCGAGTACAGCTCATGAACTCATCGAGTTCCTTTGAACTCAGTAAATCGTGAAAACCCGAGTCAACTCGCCAAGTTTCTAGCCAAATCGTCGAGTCCATGCAGCATCCAGAAGACCAGGAAAAACCCTAACAACTCGTCGAGTTGTCCAATCAACTCGCTGAGTTCACTCTAAATCCAAAGATGGATAAAACCCTCTCAATTCGTCGAGTTGTCTCACCAACTCTCCAAGTTTGTAACGCGTCCATACCAAACGAGGTAAACCCTAACCAACTCGTCGAGTTGGCTTTCCGACTCGCTGAGTCCCTTCAGTCCAATATCTCATTCAGACGATTTCAGGCAGAAATTGTTGTGTTTTGAGCATAACATCATTCCTATGGTGTACATGCAACCCTAATTGCCTTGGATCTAGGTTTTTCTAATTTGAACATACAACTATGAATACCAAAGCAATAACCCTATGACTAGCATACATATTTCGAAAATCACATATGATTAGGGTTATAATCTTTACCTCTCTTTTATGTAGCAATAACAAGTTTAATCCTTCTTGATCTTGACTTCTGAAAGCCTAGTGCCCCAAGTGTTTGCACCTCTAATGGAGTCACAAACACTCAATGCAAGAAGATGACTTGGGAGAGAAGGATTTTCGGCTAGGGTTTCTTTCTAGAATGCATAGGCCGAAAATCCCCTTGTATGGGGTTCTATATATAGTTGTGGCTGCTAGGGTTTTCAGGGTGAAACCCTAATCTCTAACTTAGGAAACAAGAAGCCCATGAACTTCTTCCTTAGAGC